TTTAATCATTACACTTCTAAATATATATAAAAAATAGATGAAATAAAAATTAATGAAGCTAACCTTTAAAAATATTAGAAAAACCATTTTATTAATAGCCATTCTTGAAAAGAGTCTGTTACGTGAATTTGTTTTTGTTTGAAAATATTAAATAAATATCAATAAATAAAAATGATAATGAACCAAGTAACGAACCAATTAATGAAAACAATAATGAATCAAATAACGAATCAAATAATGAAAGTAATGATGAATCAAATAGTGATAGTGATAGTGAAGTAAGTTGGGTTACAGATTTAGATTCTAATTGCAGTTATTTTGTGAAAGTCCTTCAAAATGGAATAAATAATTATAAGCCTTCTATACGTCGTTCTCTCTACTTGGGAATGCACTACGAACTAGGCGATTTTATGCTTCACAATATAAAAAAACATCTGAAGATAATGGACAAATGATTTACAAAAAAATGTTCCCGAGACTTTGGATGCAGTTTCTCTTGAAAAAATTAGAAAATTTTCAAATAAATCTTTTAAATATATGGAATGTTATAGACAAGTATTAGATGCAAAACAGGCTGAATATTCCTTAAAAAAATACAAACGTCATCGTATAATATTTTAAATAATTTAGATTAGCATTAAATTTTTTAATAAAGTTATTTTCAGTGTAACATAATTTGGAATTTTGCCGCCGATCGACAAAGTGGCCGGCTTTAGACGACTCAAGCTGTACAAATAAAAACAAAAAAAAAATTTTTGATTTATGGTGTGCATTTAAAAAAAATTAATATATTGTATCGTTATCAAAAAAAAAAATTATGCATGTTAAAAAGGTATGAGGGGTTGTGCATATTATTTTTCATAAAAATATTTAACTTTATCAATTCCAACCACTCTAAATGTCAATTTATTTTGATAATGGCAATAAATGTAACTGTTGGACATTCACAAAGTCAAATATTAATGATGTTTGTCAAATTTGTAATCATTTAGAAAGTATTCACCACGTTCTAGAACTGCAAACATTTAATACTAATGTTAGCCAGTTGAATGCATTTTCACAAATTAAAAATCATATCAATGAATTGCTTAATTATGCTCAACCACATCAATATGGTGAACTTGCAACTGAAACATTAAAACACGATACTTATCAACCTTTTAGTAATAAAAGGAGACATGGATCAAAAACTAGTTTCAATGAGTCTACCAACAACCATAAGAATATTTGTTTCATGATAATTTGTATAAATATATACAGTCTGCCCTTGTTTCAACGAAGTGGCTGGGCATATAAGAAAATTTTATTCAACATTCGTTGAAACAAGGTTACTAATCGCGTTTCAACGAATTTTTATATGTTTTCATAATGTGTAACAACGTTTTTAAAAATTCGTTGTATCAAAAATTTAATTGTATAGTGCAGGACACCTAGTCCCACAACTTTTTATTGGTCTTGTATATCCTTTAGTATACCAGAAATGGAAATG